AATTCTTGTACCGTGATCCGACGCCGACATTCAATTAAAACACCCTCGAATCTCATAACACATCGCGAAACATATCCACTACGTATTTAAACGCTATAATATTAGCGATATTTATTGTAGCGTGATTATTATACAATATTACCGATTTAATGGCAATCAACGTAATTTACGAAATAGAATTTCGCCGTGAATGCAGAAACATAATCGTATATAAGATGACACGTCGTTTTACTCGAGTACAAGAACTTTTGTTAGAAGTACTCCGATGACGCGAGTAAACTTCGAGAAACGATCCTTCTTTTTGGATCAAGTTCACCGACCACATTTCTGAACTGATAACTCACGTCGATCAATTAATTCTTATTATAGCGGCTTGACAATTAACGGGGATTAAATCTTGAAACATATATCAATAGCAAAATTATCATTACGATAGTGACTAATTCGACGGCGACTTAAAACACCAACCTGACAAATAAGTATAAGATTTTTTCTCTTTTTTATTTTAACACACACATAAATTACAGAATTTAATATTGATTTTAGATGGTCAACTCTATTTGACCAAGTTGTTTCTTCGTCAATATAACGAAATCGCACAAACAAAATTCGTAGAAAATATACAGTCACGTATTAATTCACTACAGACTGAAAACAATGCATTTGCATCGCAATATCATGCAATTTTTTTATCAGCGTGAAAAAACTTTTCATCGGAAAGAAACCGAAGCCAAAAGATTTTTTAGATTTTTTTCAATGTCGAATCTACAGTCAAATCGCGTGATTTCCGTACACGTTTAGTGTGAGAATAAATTTCATTTTGAAATGACGTGCGTCCAATTAAAAGTACGTCAGACACAACACGCTCGAACGCACGTAACATATCATGTCCATTACTCGTTCGTATCGCGAAGCCTCGATTGCAATTACCGCTATCGATTAAATTAAGATTGAATTCCGAATTCCTCGCATGTACCTGTAGTATTTAAAAAAAAAAGAGAGAACAAAGGGCGCGAGTGACGCCGTCAGAGATTATACACACAATGTTCGCACAAGATCTTCCGTTAAAAAAAGAAACGCGCGAACGAAAGAGAGAAAGGGAAAAATGAACGAATGAGAGCGCGTTAAGTGTGAAAGGGATGAAAGAGCGAAACCTTTTTTGCAATAGCGCGCCTTCGGTATAGGATTGTAAATCGATACGTAATACTCGGCCACTTCGATTTCTGTGTCAAGACAGAGCATCGAAACGTAAACCGAGCGAGATTATACCGGTTTTAAATCCACAGAATTAAACGCTAATCTACGGATTGCATGTACAGTAAATAACGACATAAGTGTAAGATAAAAATTGCCATAGCGATTCGTAACTGTCCCGCAACTGTACCGCGTGGCGGTACACGTTGAAGCGCTTACCGTATATCCAACGGCGCGGTATTGCAAAAACTCCCTAATGCGTGGGTGAGTCTGAGTACTTTATTACAACGCAAAGTGGTCAATCTATTTCGATATGACAGTGTGCCAATAATTCTTCATCCCAGTGTAGCTAAACGTACATCACGTTTTTTCATTCATTTCACTGTAACGAGGTCTCGAGAATCCGATCGTGGCCGCGTAATCGCATTTTTTATTCGACACGCGCATGATATTACCGTAAGAGTGTAAGTACAAAAATATTACGACCTATTTACTTTCGATTTTTCATGTTTCTAGCACGGTAGAGCCGACATATATCATCCCCATCATTCCCCTTGGCTTATCCATCTTTTTTTTTTCTTACGTGGCGAAATCTCTATCTTATTTGTCTTATGCACGAGTGAGGACAAAGCACGATTTGCAACGATGTAAATACGTAAGCTGTATCAGAAGTCCCTTGTCAAACAGAGATTTCTGACAAATTAAGCTTCAAGCGTGAGAGAATAGATAGCAAATTATTAAAAAAATCTTCCACTTCATTTTTAACTTTGACAAAAATTTGAAAGCTGAATAGCGATTACGTGTTGAAATACACATATTTGTGATAGATAACGACGTGCAATTCAATCTTTTCTGTGCAAAAAGAAACAATCAATTTCAGCCTCGCGAAAAAAAAGAATTATCGTCGGGAGGATATGCGCAATTTCTGATACACCCTCATACATTTACGCGGAGCGTATTTCTTTTCAATCGTGTAAAAAGCCAAAGAGATTTTATTTTACGTTACATTATATGTGTATTATTTCAATTACGTCCTGTACGTGGTCGCATGATTTGTGTGCACGTTCACCGAGTGCTTTAATTACTTTTATTATTAATTATTCCTTTTTTACACATGTATATTATACTTCCGTATATGAGACTGGTGTAATTCAATTTATTCTTTTTACGAAATTTTTAATTAATTTTTCGGACTTTTCAAAGCATGAGTATTTTTACTTTATCTGGAATCGTGTCTTCTTCTTTTGATACAAGTATAAGATAAAGATACAATGAGGTCAATTATCCATACTTATCAATCAAAGTTCTTAAAACATTTTATGTCAATATCTTCGAAAATATTGCTAATTTTTATCAACTAATTATTATCGTTATATATAATTAAAATAAATATGTCTCCCTTTTTCGTATATTTATTAGCATATATACGAACCTTTTTAGTTGCACCAATCACAGATTTTGGAAATATAATATCTAAAAATGTGTTTTAAAAAACGCAATTTTTACTAGCAATACGATTTTATAACTTGAGAAATATAAATATATATATATATATATACGATCTATTTTATCATGATGTACATTTTATCTCTTATTGGTGATCGCATTTTTCGTGCAAGATAATTATATAGTAATTATTATTATTATTATTATTATTTTGTTATTTGTAATCCATTTACGTACTTATCGTTAAGCGAATGTAGTGCCGTTTATCTTATGTTTCCATAAACTGTAATGTGTATATATACCTATATATCACTGATGTTATTATATTTTATTAAATATTTGCCATAACATAGTCCCCCGTTAGTCTGACGTTTTCCCTTCGTTCTCGTATCATATTTTTTCTTGACTCATACCTCGGATATTGCAGCACGCTATTTTTTTTATGCTCCCTTATTCAGTGCGCAATTATCGATGCGTCGATATATTGGAAATTACATCGTATCTCGCTTCCGCGTAACGTTGTATATGTTTCTCATTTTGTGCAAGGCCGAGATGAAACAAGGTAATCTTTGTGCGACCAACGTTGCATCGTTGCAAAGAAAATGCTAGGAGCAACCCCGAGCCAGCCGTCTTTCTTAAAAGAGCACATTAAAGTATGCATCGGTGCACCCATTCTATTTAGTATCGGCGTGTAGGGTCAAGCGGAGTAATTGTGACACTAGGATAATAATGACGTGGCAACAATAAGAGCAATAATAATCATAAAGTCACTGAGAATAACGACGATGCTTCGTTTAGGTATCAAAAAATTCTTTAAAAAGCGACGATTTATCATTTATCTCTCTATTCTCGGAAATTGTTGCGATATTACGTTTAACTTAGTGCCATAATTATCCTAGTTGACCCAAAAACCGTCAGAAGAGGGTATTGAAAAAAAAAAAAATTATGAAATATTTCCCAAGAATGTTCGAAACGTTTCGCATCCACGAAGCTTTCGTTCGAATCGATCGAGATTAATGCTATAAAAAAAAAGAAATATTTGCTACGCCGATCGCTTTATTCTCGAGTTCTAAAGTATTTTCTTTTTTTCTAAAGTGTTTTGCTTTGTGAGGAAAGACGAACTTTCCATGTATGTGCCTCGGAAAGCAAGACTTTCGTTGCCATATTCGCCTAAGTATAGTCTTCTGTAACTTACATAATCGCGTACGATTTTCTGTCAATGATTTTTCTTTCAGGGAAGGCTTAACGAGACGGTGGATCGGTTTGTGAATAATGTAAAACATTTTCTCCGGGGGGTAACTTCCGGGCCGCGCGGCCAAGATGGAGATTATTTATAATTTTTATCGCTTCGATCGCGGTGGCCTGTACTTTCATTCTCTGCGTGACCCGGAACTTCGCCCTCCTACCCCTGATGTTATCCGGACTGATCTCCGTGCAAACGTTTCGCGCAGGCGTTTGACGAAGATCAGTCGTGTGTATCCGTTTCAAGAAAGAGAGAAAGAGAACAAATAAAATAGATTACTTCATATAGCACACAGTTGAGCAAACTGTAACGAAAGCAATGAAAGAAAATAATGCTATTTTTATATGTTGCACTTCATCATCATCTCCGCCGTAAAAAGACCCGTAGTTATATAAAAGAGAAGATCTATTTCGGTTTTTCTCTCCTTTTTCTTTCGACTCGTATCCATTGGGCCATTTCGTGTATTGCTAAAAAAATTCGCCGAAAAATGCACGTTTCTGTGGAACAATCTGAGGAAATCGATTCGACACTTCTACGTAAATCAAATGTAGTTATATTCAGAAATAGTAATGTAACACGATTCCCTTCTTTATTTAAAAGTCAGCAGATATACATCTAGATATATAAAAGTAATTTGATATACTTCTCAAGCGCCTTTTTTTGTGTACGTATCAAATATCTCCACGGATAATTACACGAATAGACTGCGGTGGCAGAAAAATTTAAATTTAATGCAAGTATTTGCATACCATTACTCGTGCAATCAAGACAAGAAATGACCCAATAATATTACTGTCATGATATTTAGCAGCTTAGAACAATCGAATCGATAAAGAAATCTCTCGGATCCAAGAGATGCTCTTGCTCACAATTAATCTAGATTACTATAGTAAGATTTACGATTATTGTATTATTACTAATATATCTACATTCCTTTTCAGAATCTACCACTATTACTTTACGAAGCTATCTGTAAATAAGTATTTTGTATTCCTGCAAAAGAATAAAATTAAGAATCATTATAACTCGTCTGATATTTTTAACGCCGATATAAGTACCGCGTAGAATAATGAAAGTGATACTTTATAAATAATCAGACTTGTAGATAATATGTGCTTTTTTATTAAAACTTAAATAAATTCAAGTTTTTTGAACAATCCACTATCTGCTATCCTAGGTATTTTCCAAGAATTTAATAGTACGGGATGTCACAAAATTACAACTGTAAAATTTTAATGTTGCATTGAAAGTTTGAAGAAGGAAGTTTTATAAATAGATAATCTCTTCTCAGACAAGCTCATCGTGCTTACTTGATGAAAATTTCAGAAGTACAAAAATAAATGGCACAACTATGTGGCTCAACAAAAATCAATTTATACAAAAAATTCATAAACGAAATTTAAAATTGTAATTTTGACATCCTGTACATTCACATTTAAACACCAAAATATAATTCTGTATAATTCATTTTCAAGTTATAACTGATTGTGCATTTATTTTATGCCATACATTCATCAAAGACATATGTAAAAAGATATATTACGAGTTTCTCTCTGGTTATACTTTTGCCAACCATTTTTTATATACAGAGAATAATTCTCATTGAGATAAAAATTATACAGTTATAACTAACTTTTATAATGATGAATAACATCTACTAAAATTTTTACATTAACAGCAAAAAATAGAAGACTAGATATCCAAAGAAAAAAGAACGAATTAAAACTTTGGAATTCTAGTAAATAAGCTGTTAACAGCCAAATAGCTTGGCTCAAGATCCAAGAACATGCTAAATATATTCCCCTACGCAGATTCATTTCGATATTTGGTAAACACAGAGGTAACAGAGACAGAAACCAGAAAAAATACTGGGAAGTCATCACCGGATTATATATCACGGCGATCATTGCCTGGACGAACATAGCGAATGGCAACTTTGATTTTTCCGAATAATAATACGACGACATCAACAACAATAATAATTGCGGCAGAAATGTAAGGATCTTCTGAATTATATCCTGTGGTTGATTAGCAGATAAGTAGAACATATAGAAATACACGGAAAAATTATGTCTTGCGTCTTTACGTACTAAATGATATATAAAACTCTCGTACAAAAATTTAAAGCCATACAGACGATAACCCATGGCTGTTAGTGTAACGATTGAGAAAACGCAACTCAGCACAAGTCTCCATTGATCCCTGTTCAGCAACATCAACGGATACAATCTGAAATGTACAGATATCCCATGTAATAATCCGGCCAATACAATTTTGTCTCTCTGTAACAAATCCAATGTGAGCACGACTAAAAGAACTGCCAATGAATCTGCGTTGCCTCTCGTCGAGATCACTAACGTTAACGGATTATAAAGCCATAGGAGCGCGCAATAATTTTTCACAGTCTCATTACATCTTTGTCGCGCGACAATATTTTTAATTAGGACCGCAATTAGTACATCTACAACAGAAAACAAGATTTTTCCAAAATCCTTATGTAATATAATATTTGGGGTCAAGAGCCAGGCTAGAAGTGGCGAATAGCGGTAAGTATGACGATCAAACGGCGATCTCTGTTCTACCACATACCTAGCAGCATCAGTAAATACTTTATAGTCCACATCTGTGTACGGTACTGTGAGATACTCGTCGTGAAAATTGGCGTAAAGTATAAATACTAATCGTAGAACAAACGCCAATAAGCAATGCGATGTAAATGACGAGATGTTTAATTTAGCAGATGTCATCATTTTCATATGGCTAAAGGTAAGGCGCAAAATCAAGTATACAGGAACTTACTGATCAATCTTCAAGCTCGTTTATAATCTAGTATTTTTGCTCGCAGCGGCTTTAACAAGACATTTCTTCAATTCGTTGAACTCCGCGACGCAAGCATTCTTTTCTAAATTGGATTTCGCTAACACGCAGGATGCGTACTTCGACGCCGATTCCTGACATTGGGCTAACAGAATTGGATACTGTCTCAATCTCTCCTTTGCTTTTTTTACAGCCTCCATTCTTTCGCGCGAATAGATTTATTCGGACTTAGACTTGTCCGGTTTAAAGTCCTCTTGTGGTTTAAAGAAAAATATATCGTAAATAGGTTTGCTGTACAGTATACACATAGCAAGTGTTGTACCCACGAGCATAATACTTCGTGGATAACGTTGTGCAAATCCTCTTTTTGGAACTGTTGCCCTTCTTCTTGTTTCACTTTGCATTGTTTACCTTAAAGCTTTCCGCTGAAAGAATATTAAAAAAGGTGAACATTATATATAATAAACTATAGCTGCCGAAAGATACATAATCATGTCACTAATAAAGTATAAAATTCTACATTTTTTAATAAAGCAAATATTACACTTACATAATCTACAGTATTATGTTGGTACGGTTTCAAGGTATTTATACCATCGCAAACTGTAGAGTCAGAATGTTTTATGCAACACTTTCTTAGTTGTTCAAGTACATCCTGACAACGGGAAGGCTGAAATACATTGTCTAAAAAACAAAAAGGCATTATTTCATATTTATTCTAATAAAAATTTGAGTATTTATTATATTATTCTGTCATTATCACCAATATCACATATAAATTGTCAAAGTCCTATTTCAGCTCCATTTTATTCCATATATTAATATAAAGTTCATTTATCAGAATTTGTTGTCTCTGTTTCTCTTTAAGTTTTGCAATTTATCAATTTACTAAAGTTTTTAAACATATATTTAATGCCTAATGGTTGTTCTACAATGTGCTCTTTGTTTCCTGTTTCTTGCTGTCTTTTGGTCAAAAAGGCAAGAGACAGGCAGCAAGAAATAGGAAACAAAGAGCACACTGTAGAATAGCTGTAAATTTTATGAAAAGAGGTTAGAAATACATTACTTTCCTCTACTTCAAATTAGATATATTATACAAACCTTTTAAGCACGTCTGCAATTTACATGCAATTTGTTTGCAGGGATCAGTCGTCGACATACAGAATAATCGGAGTATTTTCTAAATATTCTTTATATTAATTGCAACACACACGATGCAAGCGCTGTACGGCAAAATCTTACGTAACTTTCGACCGGCAGTACCGGCACTATGAAATGTTCGAGTGTTCCATATATCCTTTTATAACTTGAAATATCAATATTTCCAAAAAAAAGACGAGAAATTGATTTTTTATTTTCTCATAGTTACAATTCCATTCGTTGTATTTATAAAATGTCGATAAATCCTTAATCCTTTTAATATAAATTTAGGAAAATATCGATAACAGATAAGGTCCTTTAAAAACGGTAAATTATCGGTATTGCTTACATATATTTTTAAAATTAATTTTTGTCAAAATATATTTTTGAATAACCTTCAATTTTATTCTTGTTACGATTTAATTTCCATTAAATTAAAAGAATTAGCGAATATTGAATGTTCATAGAATTCTTTTATACAGAATCGCATCAATTATTTTGTCTGATATTATATATAGTATTTTATATTCGTATTATGTATTGTATTACATGTGTATGTTTCAATATCAACTTGCAATTAATTTTATCCTATCAAACATTCTTTCTCTTACATAAATTAAAATTTAGTTGGGTTTGAGTGTAAATCTGGAGAAGCCACAGATTTCTATTACAACGCTAGTGGTGCGTTCGGGGAGACGCTAATAGCGCTATTCTGTCATTCTATCTTCGTTGTTTATTAAATATAAAACAAGAGACTGTCCACTTTTCCTGTTGTCGGATAAGGCCTGTTCTTTTTAACTGAATTTTTGCACCAGTTCATCTTTCTTCCTTTTCTCTTCAGGAGGAAAGAAGAAGAAAGATGAACTGGTGCAAAAGTTCAGCCAAAAAGAACAAGTTTATGGGAACATGTTGGAGCATGTGACGCAAACAAACCTTAGGCCGGAATCAGACTACGTATTAAAGATTGAGATTGAAGATTGAAGATTAAAATTTGATCACTGAGGGCAAAAGAATTTTAGCTCCTATTGTTTTGATTGATCAAATTTCAATCTTTCAATCAATTTTCAATCTCAATCTTCAATGCATAGTCTGATTCCGGCCTTATGGGAGAAGCGCACAGTACAGAAAGTGCAGAAAGTGCGACAAAAAGAACAGATTTTTAGGTGACGTATACCTATACCATCGGACCGGTTATTCCAATTGTTAAGTGCCCTATGTTAAGTCTCTTATTGTTAAGAAATGTTATTGACATTAGGATGTCTACTCTATTACGGGATATTATTGGCTGTACTCGTAACAATCTTGGTATGCTGAGGTTATCTTACACTTACATCTTTTTTAATAACGTGTCATCACAAGTAATAATTTAAAAAGAATAATTTTCTTTTGTGTGTGTGTGTGTGTGTGTGTGTGTGTGTGTGTGTGTGTGTGTTAACTTTATTTTATACAGTTATATAAAATACAGTCGTAATTATTTTTATAACGCAATGCCTTCTACATAAGTATATGTTTACATATCTGTTTTAGTATACATATCTGTTTTAGTTTTTCATAATAATATATGTGACAAGCGAACGGTATCCCAAAATCTCGAGGGATGAAAACGAAAAGTTATTTTTCAACTATCAGACGAAGATAAGAGAAGCATTCCCTTCATTACATGACCCCTGGAGCGTACAACTCAGTGTCATTATACCTGCTTACAATGAAGAACAAAGATGTAAGATTCGCTTATCAATACCTGGTAGTTTATCAAGAGTTTAGAATTATACAAGACTGCTGAAAATGGGTCGAATCTAACCGAAACGTTCGGTCGTTATAATTATGTGAACGTAAAGATGTAAAACATATGTTTGAAAATATAATCGTACCAATTACTGCTCTTAATTGCCGATTTTTTCAATTTAATACTTGTTTAATATCCCAACTTTGATTATTTGTAAGATTTGTTGCATATTATCTGTAGACATTATTAATTATTTATTTGTATATTTTTATTAATATTTAATAGTGCCTCCCATGTTGGACGAATGTCTGGAGTATCTGGAGAAACGTAGGAAGTCTGGATTGACTTATGAAGTGATAGTAGTTAGTGATGGCAGTACAGATAAGACTGTCGACGTGGCACATCGTTATGCATCCAAATACAGCACTCTAAAAGTATTAAACCTTATAAAAAATAGAGGGAAAGGTGGAGCTGTAAGACTGGTTAGTAATTCTGGTGGAATTAAAAAGCTTTTGGTGCAATCTGTTTGATGCAACAAATTCTTCGAATCGTTTAATTGACTAGAAGAAAGAATTTTATTAATTGACCAATCATAGAATGCTTTATTTGTAGCATCAAATAGACTATAAGTTAATTTTAGATTGTAATATAATTATTATATTTTAATTTATTTATTCAAGGGTATGCTGAGTGCAAGAGGTAGCGCTTTATTGTTCGCAGATGCAGATGGTGCTACCAAATTTAACGATTTAAAGAAGTTAGATGAGAGTCTGGTAAACGTTTTAGGATGTATGTTGAAAAAGGAATTAAAATTTTGATGTTTCTAATAGAGCTACTGATTATAATGTTAATAATGTTAACATAATGTTAATGTTATTAATTTTAACAAATTAATTTTAGTTGATTACATAAACAAACCCGAGAAAACGGCATCGTCCGATGCAGTAATATGTGGCTCGAGAGCACATTTGGAAAAAGAAGAAACTGCCAAACGATCCTACTTCCGACTCTTTCTTATGCACGGCTTTCATTTCTTAGTCTGGCTGTTGTGCGTCAGGGGCATTAGAGATACGCAGTGTGGATTCAAGCTTTTAACGAGAAAATCAGCGAGAACAATATTCGAAGCGCTACATGTCGAACGCTGGGCATTTGATGTAGAAATGCTTTACATCGCACAGACTCTCAACATTCCTGTGACTGAAATAGCAGTAAACTGGACGGAGATCGAAGGCTCCAAGATCATACCGTTTTGGAGCTGGCTGCAGATGGGCAGAGATCTATTCTTTATCTGGCTTAGATACAGAATCGGAGCGTGGAAGATAAATAAACCTAAAAATTAGAATTTAATATTAATTTGACTTAATATTAATGCGTGAAGTCCGTCTAAAGATCTCGACTGACCCGTGTCTCCTATTTCTTTTATAAAGATATTTTTATAAGAAAATATATCATAGAAATTATACATATACATAGAACACAGTGTATCTATATAAATTTTATTTATAAAATTTTATATAATAGTATTAGTAGTAATGAAAGAAACTATTATACGTAGTAATGAGTGAGAGTATATTGATCACTTGAACGTCATCTAGTTTTAGTGAACTCTATACTGCTCATTACAATGTTTAGAGACCGGACATGAAAAAAAGAGATAGATTAATATTTTTGTCTAGTGCGATACCAGACAAAGAAAGAAATGAATACTGATCAACCTATCTCTTTTTTAGACTTAATATATAATAGCCTTTTTAATAGGGTAACGTCCATATAACATTGTAAAATTACTTGTAAAACCTCCAACATATTGTTTGGATTAATTAAATTATAACGAATTATGTCTTCAGACATATGCATTTATGACTCAAATATATGTTTTAAAAATTGCGCACAATAGTCATGTTCCTATAAATGCCAGATTCTGACGTCACAAAACACAGACACCGACTGGCAGACATTTTTATAAATTGTTTGTTTCATTAATTCAGATATTCTTTTAAATAAAAGAATTTTTCCTTCTATTTTTTTATTTAATTATATAATTAGAAATTTTATAGTGAATACCTAGAATATTCCTTCACAAAAAATAACAGCTAAAAATAATTTCAAAATAAGTGTGTCACACACACACACACACACAGTATTGTACTATTTACTATCAGGCTGCATTTCTTATATCTAAATTTTTTACATTTTTTTTGCTTTTTCTCTAATATTATCCATCCGTGACCCGCCTTTCATTTAAAGTGTGGAAAGTGCAATTGTAGTGCACTTATAAAATCCAGAATGATATTGGTCCACATTGATCAGTCCAGCCCAGTCCAACCCAATCAAGTCCAATTCCAACCAGATTCCTAAAGGTGCATTCACATGCAAGCGTCAAGCATCAAGCAGCGGAAGCAGCAACCAATCAACGAGGCGATTTTTACAGTGGCGTAAAAAATATTTTTTTTACACCACTGCTCGTATCACCCAGCTGATTGGTTGCTGCTTCCGCTGCTTGATGCTTGACGCTTGCATGTGAATGCACCTTTATTAGTCCAGCTATATATAAAGTGACGCAGAAGTGACGTGTCGCGAAAATCACATTGTCTTCGAGTTTTCCGTGTGTTTATTATCTGCGTTATTAACAAACGCAATATCGTGACCATTTGTGTCATTTCGTCGTGACATTGTCAGTTACTTACGAAAATGGCTTTTATATCGCCGATGCCAAGTCAGCAATTTCTTTGGGATGTATTCCAGAGGTATGATAGCCGGTTCTACAAATTCCTTTCTAATTTTTCCACGTTCTATACAACAAATGTGTAATTTTGTAATTATTATCTGTAATAGATATAACTTTTTAAATACTCTCAGACGCTCGCTTTCCTCACCTGACGAGAATCCTCGTCTTCAGTTTTGTTAATTTAATTTGTAAAAGTTTTGGATTTGATGTTTGCTTATATCTGCAATAGATATAACCAATTTTTCCATCCAGGAAAAAAATTCTTTTGTTTCCACTCCTTGGTGTAATCATCCTTGTATTAACAAATTTTAAGATTAAAGAGAATAAATTTGGTAACGTTATTGGTAACATTTATTTAATAATTAAAGATTTTGACTTTATCAGGGTGGATAAGGACAGGTCTGGTGCAATCAGTGCTGACGAGCTACAACAAGCTTTGTCAAACGGTACATGGACGCCGTTCAATCCCGAAACTGTACGTCTGATGATTGGTATGACATGTTTATAGTATATTTTCAAAATGACCATGTGAATTTATAATACATAGATTCCTTGTATCTATAGTTTCTTTTATACTTAAAATCTTCTCATCTTTTCTGTAGATACTCTAAGTGGAAAAGGCTGAATATCTGTCGCTTGATGCTAGAAAAACTTCAAATTCATAGAAAGAACAATTTTACTGAAGTATCTAAAAATTCAGCTAGATACAATTTTGAAAATAATTTTGTTGAGTCATCAAAATAATTATGTATTTACTCAAACTGATTGCTGGAATGTCAAAACTTTTTATAGCATTACTCATGCTTGAGATTCCTACTTAATTATTTTGATAATTCAACCAAATTATTTTCAGATCTATGCCTATATCTATATCTACATCTAGCTAAATTTTTAGATATTTGAGCAAAATTGTTCTTTCTATGAATATTCTGCTGTTAATTTTTTTAAATGAGCATGTTGCATACTTTTAGTTCTTGCAATATATCATTATAAAATTATGTATGTACGATATATTGATTTGCATGGTCTTTTGATGTTATTATTATTTTGTTCCTTGCTTTTGTTGGCACAGGTATGTTTGATAAATCCGATCCTGCTGCAGGTATGTTTGATAAAAAGCAGACAGGTACTGTTAGTTTCGAAGAGTTCGGAGCACTGTGGAAGTACGTGACCGATTGGGAGAATTGCTTCCGCTCGTTTGATCGCGACAATAGCGGTAACATTGATCGCAATGAATTGAAGACGGCTCTTACAAACTTCGGGTACCGACTAAGTGATCAAATAATTGACATGCTGATACGAAAGTATGATCGTGCGGGACATGGTACAATATACTTTGATGACTTTATACAGTGCTGTATTGTTCTGTATGTAAGTATAGCTATAAAGCAATCTAAATAATTTCATTAGGTGTGGCTCGTGACCTCGCTTAAAAATACCTGTTGACTTTTATATATAGAAACTTTAATTTAAACTCAACTGGTATATCCATGAATTAAATTACATTTAAATGAGTTATTCTTATTGTCAATTAAAAAATTAAATAATATTAATTAAGCTAATATTTTTGAGCCTACATATTTAATCGTAATTTTAAAAAACAACTTGTCTAATAATTGTAAATATTCAAATTGTAATTAAAAAAAAATATAATAATTATATATTTTCAGACTCTTACCAGTGCTTTTAGACGATTGGATACGGATCTGGATGGTGTTATAACGATTCACTACGAACAATTTTTGGGCATGGTGTTTAATCTTAAGATATAAATTATATAATGCCACTCGGCAAACATTTATTTCTTTTTTGCCTACTCGGTAATGTATTCCATACCTGAGCATATACATTAAGATGCCAAATAAAGACACGAGAATTTTCATGTACTATGTAAAAAACTCAGAATCTCCAAAATTGATATTTATTTGTATGTTTCCTTTGCAGTATTAAATTTGATCAAATTAACAGAGTTTATTAAAAATATAATTATAGATTAAAATACATATTTGTTTATTTGAATATCTTCACATATTGGTTATCATTTTTAAATTTTTTTAACTTTATACAAAATATACTTTTAATAAACGTAAAATTCTTGTTAAGCAAATTTTGGAAATTCTGAAGTGTGATAACTGTTAACAGATAATTAAATAGAATCTGTTACTGCAAGTCAATTATAATAGATTGTATCTATTGCGGAACATTACTAATCATTATGGTTTGCACATCACTTTTGAATGCAATATGACTTCCAGCATTACTATTATATATAATTATTGAATTATATATATATATATAACTAATGAAAGAATCTATGTGTATAAATGTGCGTTTAATTATATATGATGAAAAAGCTAAAAAATCTTACATTTCTTAATACACTATTATATATTTATGTATATTAATATTTGTTGATACTTCATACTTGTATTTTTCTATAATTATTATATTACTGTAATGTTAATAAACAGTCAAGAAATATATTTCTTTTACAAAGCGATTTATTGTGTGTGTGTGTGTGTGTGTGTTTGTGTGTGTTCGTGTGTGTGTTACTTTTCTAAGATTAGAAGGTACAGATCAAATATATACAAAAATAGATCATTGCGGTAAAGTTATTTAGTTTATTATAATTCTTATCTTAGTAATAACTTTAATTTTGTTTTTACAATTTGTTCTAAAATTATTTCTTTTCTTCAGATTTACAAATTCTGGATTTCTGTTGGCGTATTGATGCATTGATATCTTCCTCGCAATTGGAATATGCCATACCTAATCCAAAGCTACCTCCGGTTATAATGGGCCACTTTCTTCCTATAAAGAGAATTCGGTGTATCCATATATATGTTTTATAAAACAATTGAAAAAGGAATTTGATAGCAGGCAGTATATTTCTTCAAATTTCTTTCATAAGTTATTTTTAAACATAAACATTGACTGCGTTCAGAAAAAAAGTAACTTGCAACATTGTTACAAGATTCTTTAATATGATTAGTTATACATTTAGATCCAATGAGGAATTAAGGACAAGGCTAATTATATTAAAAAGTTTTATAACAGAATTGCAAAGCAGCTTTTTCTGCTGAACACAATCAACTTATACTCAAGTATATCACTGTTATTTATCATTCGTTACGATATATATTAAAGTAGCACTAATCCCATCTATAAAACCATTCTTTTGATAGAAAATAAAAATATTCTATAAAAATTATAATACAAGTAAAAGAAATTATATATTTCCATTTAGAATCAGAGAGCTCAATTAACTCTTTTTAACTAGATACTCTGCTTATGAAAGAAAGATTACACAAATAGTAAACATTGATTAATTATTAAAACTTAAATATAGATATACAGCTATATAACTTTCAAGTTACATGACATCATAGATGATTAATGTTTCTACAATGAAGCACACATGTGATCAAAGGCTAATCTATAATATATACTTTGCATCCTGTTTCTTGCTTTTTACCTCTTGCCTTTTTCTCTCCTCGTAACTGTTTTATTAACAATCACGTTTTTTGTCTTTTCCGAAGTGGGTCGACTCTCTCGAATGACAAAAAAACGAAGAAATAGGAAAAGAGGCAAAAAGACAAGAGGGAAAGAATTAACGAGAAATAGGAAGCAAAGAGCACATTATAGACTAGGTTTAAAACACATGCATTATTAATGTTAACAGGATCAAATCTAGGTGTACGAGTCCATGAATGTATCTTGCCATTGACTCCGACAATTACAATAACAAATACAGTTATGTCATAGGAGTGATGCATCTTACTTTTGAAGAAAAATAGAGAAAACACTCCGCCGAGGATCATGCCACCACCTGAGAAAAGAGATCTGTCAGTAACGTCATAAAAGGTAACATCCGTCACCATGAACGAGCTCGATCACGATAATTACCGAACTTAAGGATAGCATCTGTGAAGCAACGGTCCCACTTTCGCCCTACCTCGTCCTCGGCCCACACGGCGCCGGCCATTTTTGTGTTATAATGCCGCTTGCCGTTACGTCATTCGCGCGAAACCAGACGAGACGTTCACGTGCGTCCGACAATATCGGTCATATTGATCTTCGGCGGTTTTACCTCTCTCCGTATCATTTGCACGCGCAGTCGCGTGAATTACGAATCGCCGGCGACGGAAATAGCGAAAACTGGACTCTTTCCAGCCGATGTTTTCGTTTAGAAATAAATGGATTTTTATATCGCGCGCTGTCACGCTGCTCACGCACGTCTGCCAACCTAAGCTGATATTCAACTTTGGCTGTGCTCCAAAATTCACTGCCAGCGCTGAAAATCTACAGTCTACGTCACATGTACTATACATTTTCAGCACTGACAGTGAATTTTGGAACACAGCCTTTATATTATCCATAAACTCCGTCTTTTTCCGTTTCCATATTTCTCGGAGCGCGATTTTTCTCCTTCTATTCGTCACGTTGATTCAGACAGTTCGAGAAAGAAAATATACGATTCATAAGAAAGAGAAAGAAAAAAATTATCTCACACCTCTTACACCTGTAACTAGAACTTTTAGTAACAAAAGGTCTGTTCAAGTTGTTCGAAATCTCCAAAAATTTTTGAACTTAAAATGAGATGGATACATATTTGGGTGCTGAAAAGAGAGAAAACGAAGATGTCGAGTGTAAAAAGTGTAAGCAACGCGAACAGATCTAAATGGAACAAGCCAGCATGAAAGCCGCAAAGTTTAAAATCACTAGATTTCTAAAGTACCGCAATTGATTTCAGAAATGTTGCGACAAAATGGCCGAAGTGCACATAGCACACGATTCCAAGCATGGTGTAGTTGGGTAGTTCATCTTTTTCAAACTGTACTTACTGTACAAACTGTCCCTTCGTGCATTTTCATGTACTAAACTTCTACAACAAATAAATCCGTATTAAACTAAAGAACACGTAAATTAAGCATTCGTACATATTCTTTTGTTCATAAATAAACTAATTATAACTAAAAAACATTGATTTACATACTTGACGGCTTCATTTTCCCAAATAAAGCACGTAATACAAATTCGAAATGACCGCGTTTGCGACAAAATAGATGCGAGTTTGCGCGATACTTCATAGATCTAGTGACTTTAGCAAAGTTCAGACAGCTGCGATTGGCTACGACTGGTCGGTCGCCGCGGATGATAATCGAACGAAAGTAAATGAATTAAATCCGTTTCTATCAATGTAGCTTCACTTTAATCTTGGTTTAACTTACTTTTTATCTTTTTCTAGTTCTGAGAATTAGAGAAAGATAAAAAGCAAATTAAACCGAAATTAGTTAATCCATATTGATAGAAATGGACATTAAACATTTCTGCGCTTTATAATTCGTGACAAAAAAATATAGATATTTTTATATTTATCTCAATTATATTTTTTTATTATTATTTACGGACAGTATTCATTTGGCTCTCACAGGGCTTGCAAGCATCGTTTTGTCCTTGTTTAATATTTGATAAACAACAAGGATGAAAAGATGCTTAAAGCATTGTGAGCACGAAAAGCGAACGCAGCCACAAAGGCACGAATTTGCATAGTGAGCAAGTTCAGCGTGACGGTAGCGGTTGGTCGGCCTGCCGGTGTCCGTAGCAACTCATTTCACTCAAGTCTCTGAGCGCGAGAGGCAGGTGCGCTGGCCTGTCGTTCGCGAGACGTTTGATCGGGGATAAGGACGAGTCCACGGAGTACCGTTCGTGCGTGCGTGCGTTGCGAGATCGCGCGACACGGACGGTTCCGTGTCAAAGAAAAACGCGAGGGCGACTCGCGCGTCGCCGCGTTACAGCTGTACATCCGGCGGAACAGTGCGGAGCACCACGGGAGTACCGCGACGTCGAGGGAAGAAAGAGCGATCCGCGGAGCGCTCGTAGTCCGAGTCCGGTGTCGTGGCGGCAGTGATAAAGAGAGAGAGGGTTAGAAGAAAGAGAAGGAAAGGAAGAAACAGAGTGTGTGTGTGTGTATATGCGTATGCGTGTGTGTATGTGTGTGTGTATGCATGTGTGTGTGCGGGCGTGCGTCAGAACCGATCGGGAGCGCACGCTGTTGACACGGTGCGTGGGTGCATCGTCGTGAAACGCGCGCGCGAATTTCAGGACGGGAGGAGAGTATAGGTGTGGATACGGGGATAGGCGCCTGTGCGGCTGTGTGCGATCTCTAGGGAATCTCGGCGCCTCGCCGTTGCCTGTCCGGCGGATCGGCGCGGCGCGGCGAACGGAGAGAG